TGGTAGAACCGACCTTCGAATCTCTTCACCCAACACTTCTACTCGAAATGGAAGTAATCCCAACAATTATCGTCACAACCAAATTCAAGCTGACGGGTCAAGAAAACTCACCGGCAAATTGGTAAAACAGCAATTCTGACCTCTTCTCACCGTCTCATTCCCACCCGCAGCGGGAATCGAACCCGAGTTGTGGTGTCATCTTATCGCGTTAACCACTACGCCTGCCTCTGAGTCATAGGCGGGTCATAGTAGTCGTTTAGACACCTACTTTATGTGAAAATGACTGATGGGAATGTTCAAAAAGCAACTTATCGACGGCTAGCGTCTCAAATTCGAGATGCCAGCCAAGACCTCGTGCATACCTGAGCTGTACTCTTGCCTTTAGCATCACACAAGCACATACACACACACACACGGCGACATTAGATGAGTTGCATCCACAGAGGCATTGTGATAATGCAGACCACTTTGTCCCCAGACGATCTTTTGATCTGTGTGTCTGTCGGCCGGTGAGTCCGTTGGTCTGTCAGTCAATCGGCCCAATTGTCGTGCTGTCTACAGCCGTCTAAAGTCGCTTGAGTACGGCTAGAGAAGTGTGGAATTGAAGGGTTTTGACCTCTTTTCTGATTGGCTAGTACACACACACACACACACACACACACACACACACAAATGCATAAGTGGACATGGGAAGACGCGATTAGCAAAAAAGAGACGCTTTTGTCGGTGGCACGGTGTTCCAACAGTGCATCTCGGATTTGCCGACGCCTGATTGGTCGTCTTGACGAGGCCTCGAACCTTTCGCCACATCTCACTCTCGTCACTTTCGTCTTGTCTGGCCCGCTGCTCTCTCTTCTCGTCGCCGTGCCCCCTTTTCACTCGTCGTCACCTCTCTCAACCTGTCTCCTGTCTTTGCGCCTCGCCTCACCTCACCTCACCTCACCTCACCTCTTCGTCGTCTCTGCTCGAGCCCGATCCGACGGGACGGTCCATTCTCTGCCGTCGCCTGCACTCCCTCTCGGCGGTGGCGCCACGTCCGATTTCGCGTCGCTTTTCACGTCGCTTTTCACGTCGCATTGTCCACATTCCGTGAGCTGTGTTCGCGTGCCTCTCGAATGGCTCTGGCCGGAGTTCTGGCTCATTCGTGAGCCGGCCTCGCAGGGCTCGTGTTGTATGCTTGTGGCAAACGCCAATCGCGACAACCGGGACAAACGGGACAAGCGGGACAAGCGGGACAAGCGGGACAAGCGGGAGAAGCGTCGTGGGCCGTTTCAACATGGCCTGCCCGAGGGTGCCGACAGCCTCGATGACGCAAGAGGCTCGTCTGGTCATGGCGAGATGCGATCTCCTCAAGGCCATCATGTCGCACGACGTCAGTCGGCTCGCCGACGAGTTGGCCGAACTGCAGGACCAACGCATCGAGGCCGAGGTGTTGGCCTCGCAGTTGGACGAGGACGGCAACACGGCGCTGCACTTGACGGTGGAAAGTGACTTTGTCGAAGGGGTGAGTCGAGACCGCATTCTTCTCAAGCACCAGTCGTCGTGTTGTCACGGCGACCCAGTTGAAAGCATCTTGTCCAAAGTGCTTTCATCTTGTTGCTATCCGCATTACAAGACGCCGCGAAATGTCTCCACGTCCATTGCGGACAACTGAGTCGGCCTGACGACACGAACGAGTTGCGAAAACGAGGTCAGACCGTTTGCGAACAAAATACGCGCATACATTGCTTGACATGTATTCGCACTAGTTCGTTGAAGGTAGTGAAGGACTGGTAGTTGGATGTTGCCATGATGAGATGAGTAGACCTTACGTCTTCATTGCATTTCGCATAGGTTTGCTTCTCAAATGGTACTCTTGTCCAGACTGGACGGCAGTTTCGGCCCTGTTGGCAGGCTCGAAAGACTACTTTCAAACGAAAAATGAGTAATATACTAAATTGCTACAGCGAATAGAACTTTGTTCCATCCACAGTTCCATGACAACTTGTGATGTGGGAAAGTACCAGGCCTTCCTTCAAATGCACACTTGCCCTGTGATTCAAGGGCACTGGTGGCAGTGTGTGGATACATTGCACTGTCATGGTTCGAGTCCCGATGTGGGTGCTGATGAGACCGGTTGGGCCGAGATGGAAACTACAGTCCACTTAGTCCGGAATGAGAAACAGAACCACTTGATTCAACTAT